ACTTACCACCATTTGTGGTAGTTACCGCCGTATCCAGCAACAGGAGGGTGGCATCAGCAGGTTTAACTTATCTGAAAAAGCAAGCGCCCTGATTCCAGGACATGTTGTGATATATTCTGTGCTAAGTCTCCCACAGGGCACGTGTTACTTGCACCCACCTTAATTATTCTCTGTTGCTTTTCACAACAAGAGCCTCCTCTGATGTTCTTGCCACCAGCTCGCCTTCTGCTGCAGCTGAGCAATACCGTGCACATAAAGTTTAGGAGCACTTCTGTGATTCTCTCACTGGGTAAAGATACGACAGCAGTTTTTCCTTTAAGGGAGAAAGGTATTAGATGAATGTTTCAATATCTGCTGCACAAAAACCCAGAGGAAACGTTATTTGATAAAATCTGGATTTAAATTTGGAAAAACCTTTAACGGAAGCTTGATTAAACATCTGTTTTCTTCTACCCCTAGGTCCTTCCAAAGATGACATCCCACATTGTAAATGAAATAGATAATATTCTGGGAAATAAGCCCTACAGCAAGAAGGACTACAGATCATAATGCAATGCATGAATTCCCTGGACTGCATGGTTTTAGAAGTGCTCTGTACAGAAGTACAGCCCCGAATTAATATCCGGTCATGAGAATCATTCAGCAGCTTGCTGCTCGGTGTCTGCTGTCACTGGATCCTTCGAGATGTGTGCTGTTGCTACTAATCTGCAGTGAAATTTAAAAGCACAGTTGATCTCTCTTCTAACCAAGAATAACCTTGTATTTTCTTACCTTCAACTGAATTCATTAATTTTTACTTTACTCTTAGCACCTCATGCTTGTGCTGTGAAAAACACTTGTAAAGCAAAAAATAATTTATAACCTTCAGGTACTTGGTAATTAAAGAAGGATGTACAGATCTATTTTTTCAATGAAGAAAAGCCAGATACAACTTAAGGTTTTAATAAAACCACATTTGGGAAATCTCAACTATAAAGTTTCTTCAGGTTAACAGATAGAAGGGGCAAGCTCAAATTTTCCATTTTCTTTTTTATGCTGAATATATGCTTTAGATTTCATTTGTAGTTGAATAAGGGTTGTAAGACAGAGAATTAGTTAGAAATTAGATAGCTCAACTCCTAACTATACAAATGTTTCAGCTGTGGAGCGCTCCTGGGAAGTATTTCTGAGTACAAGCCAGAAGAGCACAGTTAGAAAATCCAAACAACACGCATGCCAGGTTAATAAAAACAACGGCTGTTTGCAAAATTCTAATTCCACATAAACCTTAAACCAAGAAAGCCATGATAAAATATTGGGTTTTGCATCTACAGAAACCTGCCTCTACTTCTGCCTGCTTGTAGATGTAGCTATTGCAAATTTCAATATTCATGAGCTTTTAAGGATATAGATACTTATAATATATATAATATATAGCTGCTGAAAAATACCAGAAAAAAGTCAGGTACGTACTTTGGTGGAAGGTCACATTTGCTTTAACTTGTTCTGGAATCGGGCATAAGTAAATGCATAGTATTTTTAAGACACAGTTTAAACACGTAGGTTTTTTTTGTGAGCACTTCATCCCTCTACAGGAGTTGATAGTAAGCATTTATATATTAATTTGCCCATCTCAAGAACCATGTCATATTTTACCATGAGTTTGCTTTGTAAAACACGCCTATGATTTCGGTAAATGTTCCTCACTCGTATTGACTCGCGTACTTCGGGCACATACTTCCTAGGGGGTACAGCTATGTACAGTATTTGTAGGACCCTTGTATCCTAGTCCCCTTAACGCCAGGATACCTGCAGAGCGCGTGCAGCGTTCACGGGGGGCCACGTGAACAGATATTAATACTTGAGTTGTCTTCTCCTGTATTTAATCCAATGAGCTACGGTATGTGTAAATGAACTTAGCTGCTGTATATCCAGAAATGCAGTCTGACTTTGACTTCTGCTTGGACACAATAAAAGCATTTTGTGCATCTAATTTTATACTTGGAGACCTGTTACTAATAGCGAGACTGATTGTGAAACAGCAATGGTTTACGTTGAAACTGCATATGTATCGTTCCACAGGCAACACTAATCTTCAGCTGTACCCATGTTGGGCAAGGGACAAGGACCTCGCACGGGGGAGCGACAGGCTGCGCTGGTCTGGCTGTGCGTCTTGGAGAAGGTACTTCTAGAAGTTAGTCTCCTAAGGCAGACTGGTATCAGCCGTATACAACGTTTTGTCCTGAAATAAACACCACGTGAATGTCCTCCTGACAGTTCACTGAAATCCCACTGCCATTCCGTCACCAGCCTCTCCAAAATGACGCTGGGCTGGTCAGTCACCCGAAGGCACTGCTCACCTCCCTGCTATTACTTACTTTCACTGCCCTGGGCCACATCCCCTAATGTTGCAGTATTAGCTGTGAAAATTAACTATTTCAGTATTTTAAAATCTGCTTCATGGGCAGCTCAAAGGCTTTGACCATTATACAGTTAGCAGCTTCATTATTTTAAAAGTAGAATTATTTTCCCAGTAGCAGACTAGTTCCTTTTCTCACCTCTGGAGGTACAACATAATGTTCTTTCTTCCCCTCCTCAGATAGATGGGAATCCAACAACATATTAAAAATATATTAATTCCCAACTTTTTTTTTTTCTTCTTTTTTTAATTGAAAAGGAGATGGTATTGTCCCTTACTTAGAGCAAAAGCTTAGAAGTTAGCTTGCCTAGTGCTCTGGGCGCAATGGGGTGCCAAGCAGTAGCCTAGCTTTAGGCTAAACTTCAGCATTATACTGAAGAAACTGGGTGTGGCTTGTAGTGGGGATTGCAAGGGGAAAAAACAACCAACCAACCTCAAAAGCAAACAAAACCCCAAAACAACAACAACAAAAAAACCCCCAGCGCTTTTCTGTGAAGACATCCACAGAAAAGACTAGGCTTTCTGTAGAAAACAACCCAGCCCACCCACCCACCCGCTTTTGTTTCAGGCTGTCAGTGCTGCAAAGTTCTCCCTCCAGAAAAATTCTGACACATACTATGCTCCAGGCCTCTGCAACTGTCAATATGAAAAAACTAAGGTAAGATGAAAAGCTGTTAATAAAAGACTCAGCGAACTGACAGTAATAGCAGAAGAAAGCGCTGCTTCAAATCACTTTTCTCTAGATGGCAGATTTCCTGCAAAATACATCTGTCACCTTCTAAAATGCCTGATAGGGCAGTCTTATCCCTACCAATGCTGACAAGTAAATGAATATATTAGCATTGCCTGTTCACATGTCTGAATTTAAGTACTGTGTACTTTTGGCAGGAGCTGAGCAAATCACCAGTGACCAGCAAAACAGGGATGTTCAAGTCCTGTTGCTTACAGAGCGGTCAGCTTGGCCTCATGTTTGATTCTGACCATTTACAGAAGTTTGTTAGAAATTTGTTTTACATGTGCTAAACACTTAGACTAAGATACATACAGACGATATCCTTTATGAAAGTGATAGGCCAAGGAAACTAAAATTATGTAAGCAATATGAAAAGGCTCCCTTCAGTAGCAAATAAGCAGGCAGAAGTGATAAAGAAAAATCCACATATTTTGAAGGAAAACAATCAAGTTAATTTGAAGAGTCTTAAATGACTGACCAGAAAAGTAATTTCAATGGTGGCTCTAAAGTGCACCAAACCAACTGGAATTTTCATGATGTAAATACATGAATAGTATTATCTTTACTGGGAAGGAAAGTAAAAGTAAAAAATTATGCAGTGGAGAGTTGAGATTGAAGACCCTCACCCAACCCCAGTCCCAAAGGATGCTGAACAGAGAAGTATTGCAACAATCAGCAGGCACTGGGTAATTAGGGAATAGTTTTGTGAGACTGTCCTGGTTGCATTTGTCAGAAATAGAGATATTTATTACAATCTCAGCATACTCTAAGGCAACATAGATACACTGTCTCCTGCACTTCAGAATCTTCATTTTGCTATATTTTACATAAATATGAATCTTATTGAAGTAAAAATTAGCAAAGTAATTGTTACATTAAATCTGATTATAAGTCTTCTCTTTCTTCCCTGCTTAGGATTCCACTAGTCTATAATGGCAAAATCCGTAACTTCTACAGTACGATTCCATTAACAGTAGTAGAGTTTAGCATTTAACGTAACAGCTGCTTCACTGACAGCATGAAAAAAGCAAAAGGATTGTCTGATAAACCCATTATAAAAAGCCAGCTAAAGCATTTTTGTTAAGCTGTGCCAGGAAAACTGGCAGGGTTTGGTTTTTTTTTTTTTCCTTTGTATTTATGACTTTGGAGATGAATGAAAAAAAAGTACATTCAAACCACTTAAAAGTATTTTTCTAGGAGACACTGTTTAGGTTTTCTCCTGACTCCAAGTTACTTAAAAATGAGTATTTCCAATGAATACAGTACATATGTGAGCTTCTAGAAGACTCCTCTCTTCTGGAAGCAGAAAGAGTTGACAAACCTACACACACTGCTTGCCCATGAAAATAAATACCCCTTTTTTTTTTTTAAATTAAGAATAGAAATCCAAGGAATTACATGACAAAAAAAAGCCTTCTTTTTATTAAAACTTTTCAAGTTACAATGATAAATGGTGGATTGTCACTTTTTACGATCAGTGAGTTTGGCTGTTATACCAGTCACCAAACTTACAGGGGAATTCTGTTACAGGTTTTAAGTACAACCGTTTGTACCGCTGTGTAGCAGTCCCTTACAGTGTACCTGTCTAATAGTCAGTCTGTAGTACCATCACACCCATGAAGTGCTTCAGAAAGGTTACGTTTCATAACTGCTCACAAGCCACTTTCTTTCATTGCTAAGTAAAAAAATTGATTATTTCAGTTATTGAATAATACCATGTAAAGTAAATATAATTCAATCATTTTGGATTCAAACCCTCCCCCCCATACCCTCAAGAAGTCACACAATAAAAAACATGTATTCCTATTCCACCCTTAAACTTTTGTATGGCAGTTGAACCCCCTCACAGAAATTAATTGCTGTGGGGGGTTTTTTTGTCTACTTGGATCCTGTAGATAGCAGAGCAATCAGTCCAGATGAAGCACTTATAGAAAGAATATAGTTTCTGTAGGCAAAAGGTTAAGGACATATACTTGTGAAGATACCACTTATTTTGTACAGAACATTTAGTAGAAGTTTTATGAAAAAGAAGGAGGAATTGAGACAGTCTTTCTCTGTAGCAGTTTTAAAACTGCAACACTAACCTGAAACACACCTGACAATCAAGGCTGTTAGCAGGACAGTGAAATGTACTTAACTGCAAAATTAAGACACCCATAAAGTTTAGCCTGTTCTCTTAAAAGTGTTTATAAATACAGTTAAATACAGAAGCTCTGTAACTAACATATGTGGCCCTGATTGGCAGCACTTATTTACTTAAGTAAATAAAGTAAAAACTTTACTTGTGAAGTTACTGAAACTAAACAGTCCTGTAAGGTAAGAGCACTGGCAACTAACACTGATGCAGTGTTTCTGTAAGAACACGAGCTGCCTCCTTGTTCCACAACTACAATTGAAATGGCAAAGCCTTAAGAATTTCTGTATATTGTCCAAGGTATATCCTTAAAACATCTCATGTCAGACATTAAACTTTTATGTGCTTGGGAAACTTTTTTTTGGTAATATCTATTTTTATGTTACAGTGTTTCTAAGCTGAGGTACTACAATGAACTGCACATATCAACAGAGTAACCTCACAACCCACATGACAAATATAGCTACTAACAACAACAAATAGGAGTAGGACCCTGGTTGTTTCACACTTGGTAATAAAGGATACACAGTGGGGTTGAAGTTCTTCAGCACAAAAAATGAAGCAATGATGACCAAGACCAGAAAGAGAGTATTGTTGTAGAAGATGGAAAAAGTTGTTGCTTCATAATCTGCAACTTCATTTTTCTTCCACAGAATTCTAGGAACAAGCAGAGACATTATTTCAGGCACATTTAAATCAATGCCTATCCTGGCACACCCACCATTATGAAGCGATTGACACCCAGAGGTGTTGTAAACCACATACTGCTACTTGTCATAGCCAGCTTCTAGAAGACAGAGCACAGCAAGAACTACCAGTCAAGTCATTAAAGACAAAACCCTGCACATACTGTGCACTTGTACACTTAAATGACTGACACTTGTTTTCCTACCAGGCACGTCAAGCTGAGCCCTTCATAAATAACACTTCTTGTGAGCCTGTATCTGTTAGATGCTACCAGCGTGCCTGGCAATTAGAAGGGAAGATAAGGCTTTTTGCTCCAAAGACCTGATAGTTCATTACCTCACATCTTGTACAGTCCTAATGGGTATCTACTCTAATACTAAGTGCTTCCCGATACACTCCCCAGGCATAGCCTGTGCATTAGTATGAGCTATTCCATTGGAAATCTGTGTACCAAGACATGCCAGTTACAACCACAAGGGGTAACAAGTACAACCAGCGATTAGCAGTGCAGTCCAGCAGTATATGGAAATGCTATTCTGAAGGAACTTGCATGCCACTACACAAAATATATCACGCTAGCCCGTCTTTAAGAAAAGGAGCTTATCTTATTTCTGAAGACAGCTGTGATGCTTGCTTTCCAGAGAGTTATTACAAGGCCTGTACAATAAGTTGCTTTGCTTTGCAACTCAAGGACTGAGAGGTTGCCTTGTGGGACCTTATTGATAAAGGTGTCAATGTTTGAGACCCTTCATTGATGACCTGCCTCAAAAAGGCTTTACAGATGAACAAAGAGCTGACAGGACAGCTTCTACTTACCAGAACACAGAAAAAAGCAATGGCTGAGGAACAGTCGCTAATATCCTACTTACAGCCTTAAAGATACCAGGCAGTGTTACAACAAGGGAGAGAACGAAAAGAACAAAGAGGATTACCTTTCATCCTTCTCCTTACGAGACATCTTCCTATTGTCTGCCTCAGACAGCTTGCGAGTAACTTCTTTGGAAACAGCGTCCTCTCTTTTCTGTGCTACTCTGTAGGAAACACCATTTACGATAAAGTTGAAAAATAAAAAAAAAAACAAACCAAACAACCCAACAAAAACCAGCCCTGGGATTATACGAAGTTGTATTGACAGTGAAGTATAAAACTTTGCCAAGACAATAAACCATTTGCCCAAGTTGAAGGGAAAACAAGTAATAATCAAATTACTAGAAGTATTAGTGAAATGTAGTTTGTGGCAATACCCAGAGAGAGAATGAAGGTAGATTTGCCATTTCATTGTACACTTAACTGACAAGGCTAGTCTATTCCCCAATTACAAGAGAGGTGACAGAAACCAGTTAGAAGATACTTCTGTGTAAAATAGTTTTTGGAGTAACTTTTCAGATATTCTTATTCATAAAAAAAAAAGTTTTAAATGCTGGTTTTGTTAAATTGTTTAATAATAAATTCTACTTCAAACAGCCACCAAACTTACTTGTGTTTGAGAACAAACTTGACGTTCTTATACGCAAAAGCTACTAGATAGGTACTGATGAGGGTCATTACGCTATACAGGACTGCAGACTGAACAAGATCCATATGCCATATCCTCCAATAAAGCCCTTAAAAGAAAGAAAGAAAGACATTTTGAGTGGTTTCTCTCTCCAAGAAGAATGCCCCCACAGGAGTCCTATGCAGCTTACCAGCTCTGCAATTCAGCACCGGCTCTGCCAGACCAAAGCCAGTTCCTGAAAAATCACTTTGCTGGAGGGGCGGGGGGGCTGATCCTCGAACTGCATTAAAAAACACTTCCCAACAGAGAAATCTGCTTTGCTTGTGGCTGAAAGGGGCCTTATGAGACCACGTCAAACCCGGCTCAGCAGCAGCCAGCCCGCCAGCTGTAGGCAGCGCTGAGACTGACACGTCAGTGTTCCATCAGCGGCTCGTCCATCTTTGCAAACCACAGAACAACCTCCCCTGCCCGCTCTTCCGAGCCGGACCGGCTTCGAAGCTGGATCTAACTCAGCACGGAGACATCCGAAATAATCCCCACGGGGGGTCGGCTCAAGGCCGGCCCGGCCCGGGGCAGGGGGAACCCCAGCAGCCCGGGGACCCCCCACCCGCACCCGGCAACGGTCCAGGAGCCCGAAGCGGGCTGCGGGGAGCCCCTGCTGCCCCTCAGGGCCTGCCGCCCTCCCTTCACAGGGCCTGCCATCCCCCCCTCCCGCCTTGTCAGGGCCCCCCCCTCTTGTCAGGGCCCCCCTCCGCTCACAAATGGGGATAGCGGAGACGATGAAGGCGTTGCCGAAGAAGAGCGCGGAGGACTTGGCGGAGAGGTTGCGGCTGAAGTCCTGCAGGAGCAGATCCTCCTCCGACTGCTGCCGCCCGCCGGGGCCGCCCTTGGGAGCCATGGCGGGGACGCGGGCCCTGCCACCCTCAGCTCTACCGCGACTACTTCCGGGTCACGCCGCCAGCGGGGCGGGGCGGGGGGCGGGCTCTTCCCACAGTACTTCCGGGTGGCGGCGGGAAGGCGCCGGCCCTCTGAGGGACGACCGTTACCGACCGTTATTGACCGTTACTGACCCGTCCCACGGGTGCCGGTGGCTGAGGCAAGTGAGTACTGGCGGGGAGCGCCGGAGGACGGGCTGCCGGTGGCGGTAGCCGTGAGGGTTTGGCTCGGGGAAGGAGCGAAGCACGGCGGGGAACCGGCCCGTTCCCCCGCGGGTTTTTGTCACCCGGCAAAACCCCCAACCTCCAGCTCCCGTAGCACGGGTGCAGTTCCTTGTGTTCTTGGTTTGTTTTGGGGTTTTTTTGTTTGTTTTTTGTTTGTTTTTTTTTTTTTAAACACGTTCAGGTCTAGTTAATGCTTCTAAAAAGCATTTCTTTGTTGTTTCAGAAGTGTTCCCTACCCTCTTAGCCCCACACTTTTATATTTTTTTATTTAACGGTCCGCCTGCAGTTTGAGATCGTGTCCCGTGGGAGCCCACAGGAGGTTTGGGGTCTGACAGTGGTGTGTTGCTCGAAAGTGTGGAGGGCTTTGCCGCTGTGATTCAGCATTAGGGATGTTGTCCTGACAGCCTGGGGTGACCGTAGCACTCCTCCTCTCCTGGGGCAGCGCTTTTTCCTTGATATTTCTAAGGTTTTTTTGATGAAACTTTATTTGACAAAGTGTGTGTCCCCCAATTACCCTTTGCAAGAAAAGTTAGGAGGTGCACGCAATGAGGAAATGCTAGCTGGAGATAAAATCAAATTTATATGATCAAAAATTATAATTCATTATGATAGAAATCTATAAAACATTTAAGTGCAGCAGGACTCTGCTGCTTGCCCTCGCAATAAATTTCCAAGACCAAACTGAGAGTGGATTTTCATGATTCAAAGTGTATTTAATATAGTGTGCTAGCAGAATGATACCACTAATGTCATATTATCTACAGGCAACTATGGGAGTTACGCTTCTGCTAGCGAGACCTTCCTTCTTGGCTTGGAAATTCCTCTACAGCAGGGGTTCCCACGCTGGGTTAGCCGATGCATCAGCCCATTGGATGAAGTGCAGGAGCTCTGAGTACCCGCAGAAACACCCGTGAGTACTGATCGCAGCCGTGCCTGTGCGCAGAAGGTGGGCCTGTGGCTCCCCACCTGCCACAGCCAGGGACCCAGCCTTCCCCCCTCACCCACCCCCTGCTCCTTGTCACACAGGCAGTGGTAGCTGCCCGTGGTCAGGAGTAATGCCACAGGTCACGTACCACTGATGGGTATTTTGTTGCTGGGAAGTGTGGCCTATGGGATTCATCAACAGCAGCTGGTAGGTGTCTCCCTGTAGCTGCAGTTAACTGGCATCTGTGGCTTTCCTCTGCCTAGATATTAACTTGGGTGTTGTCCTTCATAGATGCTTTTAGTGCTGTTGAGTGGTTGGTGATGGCTTCTGCACCTAATTGGGTTATTGAGCTGTGTATTCTCCATTTCTAAATATTTCTGTGGCTGTCTTAAAATGGAAGGAAAAAAAACCCAAAACATCAAAAACCAAATCAAAATTCATTTAGAAATAATAAGGAACTTGATTTTTTTAGTGAATGATTTTCTCCATGGAAATTATTGAGACCATCAGAGATGTCTTAGTGGATTGTTATTTCAAGACATTTAAGCACCTGAAGGTGTCTGTGTGTATTTCACTGGACTTGCAGATGTGTCTGACTTTCACCAATTTATTTATTTTTTTATGAGTATGTGTTGCATGAAACACTTGTGCCCTGCCTCTCTGGGTTATATTAACGTGTTGTGCAATGGCTTCAGCAGTTTCTGGCTTCCACTGGCGGGAAATGCTCTTTGCCCATTAGATGGCATTCTGAAATCTGTACTGAGGATGGTACTCCAACAAGATCGGAGATCAGTCTTGGTTGCTTTGAATAACACATTAAAACTAAACGCGTAGTAGCTAACATCACTATTTGATCAATGTTACCAATCGTAAGAATTGCCTTACTAAAAACCATTGTTACAGTTGTATAAAGTAGCTGGAAATAATGGGAAAGGTTAAGATTGTTTTAAGATTCAGATGTAGTCATTGACTCTGTTCTTGCACAAATTTCTTCCTTCCACTCATCTGGGTAAATTTGTTTTGTGTTGTGGTGGAATGTAATTAAGTCTAACTTTTTGTTCTTGGTTTGGGTTTACTTGGGAAGGATGCTGTCGTTCTGGAACAAAATCTGCCTGGTGACCATCTGTCTCTCCATTAAGATGAAGTATGACATTGTTTTAGGCAGTGAAATGATGAAAGAATTTTCTTGAAAAAACAAATGAGCAATTTGCTTTTTTAAAAATCCTGGCACTGGCAAACTGTATCTTTAAGCAGAACACTGCATACAACAAACTGTCACTGAAGCTTCATACTCACTTTAAGTATGTCATAGTTGCTTCCCCAAACATAAATTGGGCCACCGATTTCTGTCAAAACAATTCAAGTTTATATTTTAAGTGCCTAAATCTGCATTGTGCTGACTGCATCTTGTCTGAATCCTCATTCAGAAGCCGTTAGGAGCATAAGGCATCAAAATCAGAGGAACAATGGCTCCATGACTCGAAAGCAAAAGTTCTACTGATAATGGAAATATTAGTGCTGTTATCTTTGTAACTTATGAAGTATGTTTCTTACCAAATTTCTTTCTAAAACGCGAAAGCAGTGATAAATATTCTGGAAATACATGGATTATCTTTACTGCTCTTGCTTTTTCTCTAAATCTCTAAGCTGGACCAAGCTGAAAATTTTAAATGAGGGCAGTGACATTTCCCAGCAGGACTTGTTTTGTCTATTTTATTGTTGCCACTTATCTGTGTGAAGTATAGACTCCAAAACACATTTGTTTCGGTTTTGAAGGCAGGTAAGTCTGCTCTTCAGCAAAGTTTTATTTGTCATCCTCTGTGCTAATACGAATCTTAATGTCCCAAGGTCTAAGGATGGTTTTCATTAATATGACTATCTTACAAAAAAACCAAACCAAAACAAACCCTAATGAGTCCATAACTTATTACTAGTTTTTTTCCAGTTGGTTAATTTGTGCCATCTCTTCCTTTAGGTGTCGAAATCCTAAAAGAATCCCCAACGTGCAGAAAGGGAAATTCCTGTAAGACAGCAGAGGCAGGGAGCAACCTCAGGTGGGTCAAGAACAGAGCCAGAAAGCTGTTGTGGTGGCTCTTTCCGACACCGTAACAGTGCCAGGAATAGGTGCCCTAGGACTGAAGAGCTATGAGTCTTTGTAGCTCCAGTAGCAAACAGCAGTGCTGTGATATGGAGTTGTTCTGACCAGGTAATGGTTCCTTTTCTCCTGTGTGTCTCTGACAGGTAAGTGCAGGAATACCTAGGATATACTGACGTCTGGACTGCATGCGGGGTGGGAGGAGTTGGGCCTTCCTTTGGTGGGTGCCAGAGGTTATGTAGCTGTGCTTACATAGCCAACAGTCTTGAACATCTTGATTGTTATTGGTCATTGATTAGCAACTTTCTGAACCTCTGTTTATTTCTCTCTCTCCCTTTTTTATTTATGCATTCTGTCGAATTAATATATTACAGAATCTAGGGTAGCAGTTCTTTCAAACTACATTTGCTGTGTTTCTTCATGTTGTGTGAAGTGACCTTTCTGTCAGACTCTGATTACGCTTGCCCAGCTATGCCTGCCTAAACTGTTGGGAGCACACAGAGATTGTTTTTGTGAATAAGACTTCTCAACTGTATTGAAAATTCCGTATTGCTTTGAGCTATGGTTCTTTCTTGGCATAGCTCTGCTGAAAAGATTACAAGCTCTTAAAGCTTGATGGTTTATACAGTCCTTCTAATCTAATTCAAAGGCTCTTGATAACTGTTTTTTAGCTTGCAAAACCTGTGGAAAAAAACTCCACTGAGATTAATACATTATGTATGAGCAGACCAAATATGACCATTTTTGCTGTCATCTAGTGTTAATATTAGGACATCCCAGTGTTTCTTATGGTTAAGTGAATTTCTCTGTTGTTAGTTACTGTGGTAGCTGGCATCTTGTTTAACAGAAGAATTCTTAAAAACCTTCAGACAGGAATGTGTTGTCTTCAGGATAGTGATCACTATCACATTCCAACAGTAACAGTTGTATCAAAAAGAAATACTGACTGGCAAGAAGCCTCTCTTGAGTCCCACAGAAAATAATATTTGTGATTAAAATACATGTCACCCCAGTGGTGGTTATAGCTGATCTCTGTTATTGTTGTACAATTCATGTTCGTAAAAGTAATGTAGAACATTGTGTGCTGTGTGGAATTACAGTGCACACCCTTAATATCTCTATAACAAAACAAATGTTCTCAACATGGACTTTGATACACCCTCTCTGTTCTTTGCTTTTATAACATTAGTTTGTCAGGGTAAATCTTCAGAGATACATTTAAGAGATACCTGATATTTTAAAATTGTTTATTTCAGCCGGTTATAGAATGTAACACAGCAAAGAGTCCAGCTGTCTTTCAGAAGAGGAGAGTCTCATTTCTTTGATGTTGTCTCCAGATGCTTGCACATGTTTTTTTGAATAGTACCAGTGGCTTATATTCTGTTATACTTGGGGGTGTGCATGTTTTCCTCTTTTTAAGTTAGTCTAAAAAAGATATTATGCCTTCGGCCTTGTGTCAGTGTTTACTCTGGATTTGATGTTTTACCATGGAGTTGAAGCATCTGTGCAGTCTCTTGCATCCTTTTCAGTTCATTATCTATATGCTAGTACTATATGGATTTCAGTTTAAATCATACCACAGCCAGAGGAATGATCTCACTCATATGAAAATACCTTTTTATTTTCCATGTGCAACTACATTGTGAACCTATGTCCAAAGCTAAAGCATAAACTTGGCTGACCTTGCAGCTGTTAATTTTGCTGTCTACTTACCAGCTGTTCAGTTTTTGTTTGCTTCTCTAAAAGGGGTTTTGTTAAGCACAGAAACAGAATCTATTCTTTGCTTTCAGTAACCATTTCGCTACCAAGTCCTCCAGGGGTGATCGCTTCCTTTGGCACTTGTTTAATTCTTCTAGCTGAACCATTTCACTTAACATATCTGGAAGACTTCTGTCTAGTCAGTTGTTTTAACTTAAGTAACTCACTGAAACTGAGAACATTTCCTAGCAGTGTAGATACAGCCCCAAAAGTTCGTGACTGAGACAGTCTTGCAGCTGTCTGTTGCAGTTCTCGGGGGAAATTGTGTATTTTCCTCATTCTGGCTAGAAGAAATCTGGACAAATTTCTTCCCATGTTTTCTCTTAAATCATCCCCTCTTCCCCAACGCTTGTTAGTTGGGAAATAAATTCTATAGTTTTGAAAACTGCTAGGTTTTTACATTCACATCTAAATCTAAATTAAAACAAACTTTCTCATTGGCATTCATTCCAGGGTCAGTGGACTAAACTATGTCCAAGAATTAAATTGGAGCAGAGCAAAAGCTTCACTATAGTTAAGATTGAAAAACCCCTCTTTGTTCAAAATTGAACTCTTCTACTATTCTGAAATCCCTCTGTTTACTTGGATGTACTGAAATTTATCATGCAGTAAGGGATTAGTGTTCTGAGTTTTGGATCAGCTGATTGGGGATTGTCGAAATACAAAAGAAAAACCTTTGAATAAACATGCATGACGCTCATAAACTGAGCAGCTTCTGCTATCTTTATATGAACTAGGTGAATGAGAAGCTTTCCAATTCTTCTGTGTGCTGTGCTTTTTTTGAAGCATTCTGTGGAGTCTGAGGTTTAAAATTGGAGGCGTAATCTCGATGTATTATTTTTCAGCCAAATCCGTTCCTCGATGTGGTTTAGAATGTAGCCCCAAAAAGAGCACAGCTGTCACAGCTGGAGGGGCAGTCTGGGGGCTGGTAAGGAATGGCACTGTCTTGAACCAGTGGTGTTACCAGACACAGTTTTGAGAGGATAGATTTCTTATCTGGGTGGTAATTTGGGAAGAATCTGTGACTCTGTAAGGGGAGGAGAATGTCCGGGTTTTCCTCCTCTGTGTTAGGAAAAGGGAAGATAGTTGCAATCATCATTGAGGTGAACAAATGTTCTCTTTACCTTCTGAGAACACTGCACTGAAATAATGGATTGCTATGCTGACCTTTAACTTCTAAAAGCTGGAAATTGCTGGATTTCTGTGACACTTGCTCTATCTGAAACGAGCTCAGTGTAGCATATGTGACCCATTTTTGGTCTCTTGAAATGCTCTCATCTGCTCCAGTTTCCTCCTTTAGCATTTTTCAAGTTTTGGTTGATAGGTTCTTCTGTGTGTAGACCAAATGAATGAAATAATGTCTATTAATAGATTCTCAGGGGGGCTGGCTTGCTCAGCATTTATCCCAGGTAGAGCATGGAACTGAGCACACTTTTGAAAAGCAATATCAAATGCAATATTTGGAAAATAACTAAACTCTACAGGTAAGAGTGAACCTCATATTCAAGATTTGGGGTATCTATTTCTTGAGCATCAAGGTCTGGTTCCCATGCTGCTTTGAGATCTGCAAGTGTATCCTGCAGATAATCCAAATAAAAGCTTCTGAAAGCAGGAAATACAAAATTATGGTGTTTTATTTCATCCTTTTGCATATCTTTTGGTTTTTATTCTGTTCAAGCACAAAATCACCTGGTTTGGGTCCTGTGGAGGTTTGTGCAGACTGACGCTGTGCATGTATGCTTTCCAGCCAGATGTGATCCGAGGATGGCAGCCAAGCCATTTGTTCTGTGGAGGCCACTGAGGAACTGTAACTTTCACCTGCTTAGGAGGACTCTTGGTGGGTGTGCCACCTATCATGGAGGTATTGTAAGCTTTCTTACAGGTCACACTGGCATTTTATGGTGTGGTGGAGAAATACAGGGTGAAAGTAAGCCTGGAGGCTGTCATGAATGCTTCAGCACAAGGGCTGCACTAAGGGAAGCTGAGGAAGTTGGATGAATGAGCCTTTAATGTAAGCAGACCTACCAAATTGTGTTTTGTGTGTTGAAGACGATTGGTAGGCAGTAGGATGGCAAAATGAGCCAAGGGTGTGACTGGGGCAGTGAAGCACTGGTGTAGGGGCCAGGTCTGTTGCTGCCTTTCGGGTCTATCCATTTGGTTGCTGCCTGTGATTATATATTTAGGCACAAAGTATGCCAGGCAATCAGAAAGAGTCATTTAAATGTGGGATAGTCGGCTTGGTGGCTTTAACAGCACGCTGATTATAAGCAGTTCACTTGTACGTCTCCACACGAGGGATACATCAGGTGATGTTCAGTGGTCCAGTTCAGCGGTCTGAATCCCTGTTAGTGGGAGGAAGTCAGCCAGATGGGATTTCTGCGTCTGAAATGTGTCATCCTGCCACCCACCCACCCACTACTGCTCCATCCTTTAGCAGTGTAGGAGGATCTCATGGTGGTTGGTGTCACTTTCCACCTGCGAGTTATCCCTGGGGTTTCCCATTCCTGCAGCCTTGAGTTTGGCAAAAGCCTTCTGGATCTTAGCTGTAGGAAAATTTTAGCCTATAATGTGTAGTCAGAAGAGTTGGCCATCCATGTGCTGATGGCTCCTAAAATGCTAATATCTAAAGTAAGAAGGATGAACTAGAAACTGAAGTATCATGTGAAGAATGTTTGGATGAGTGAATAAAAGGGGGTATTTCTGACTACCTCATCTTCTGAATGGTTATTTGTAATCATATGTAACACAGACTAGCCCTGCACATCGCAAACATTTGAACTCATCATGGTAATACCCATTTCACTATAACAATCAGTACAGAATGAAGTACGTAGGAATGATATCCAGCCAGCTTTTAGAACTTTAGGTAATGGTTGAGCTCAGACATAGTTAATAAAAAGTCTGGAGATAAGAAGAAATCTGATTAACATGAATGCTGAGGATTCTGTAAGAGTCAGGCTGGGTGTAGCTGTGCTAGCACTGAGAAGGGCATCACTTCCTAGCTGCACAGAAAGCTCTCACAGGGTATCCGTTGCAAGGAAGCAAAGTCCAGGTATGTGCAGGTGTGCTCTGCAGCAGCGGTGTTGGATCCAGGGAGTCTGGAGTGGAGCTAGACCTAATGAGTAGGACAGGAGCCAGGCTAACCACAGACAGCCTCTCGGGTGTCTGCAGCGGTCTAGTTCTCCAGGTTGGATCTGCTGAGCTTAATGTAAAACCCATGTTACAGGAAAGCAGTTTAAAACTTTTGTGGCACAGCTGTACAGAACTGCTCTTAGCAGCAGTATAGCTACATGCCTGTGGTGATCTTGAGCATGGTGCAGATTTGAGCTAGCTCTGGACAGAATTGATTCAGGTTCATTTATTTCATGCCATGTTGGTATAGATTGGAGATTAATCCATCCACAGAAAACAGATTTACCTTTGTGTTTTCTAGCTAGCCAATCATGGCTAGACTTAACCTGGACCTATATGTTAGAGGAAATTCTTCCAAGTTATGTTTTTGTCCTAATTTAAAAAAACCTTAGGAAATGTAAGAGAAAAAACTCTTCATGAACAGAATTAATATAGCAGGGCAGTATCCTATACCCTTCTGGAATGCTGGATTCAGCAACACACAGATTGCTGAATTCTAGAAATAAAGCATTTATAGTGTACTCCCACACAATAATTCTTCCATACAGAAATAATCTGTCAAATGCATATTCTCATTCTAAAACGTAGAGCAGAGCATCTTTCCTACTCACAGTCACTTAAGGCTATTTCAAAGAACAGCTGCTCAATATAGCAATCATTTTGCTGTTTTCTGCATGATGCTATCTAATGCTGTGGTTTTATTTATGTGTTCTGCAGACTGTATCCATCCAGCTGCTCACAGTATCCACAGCAGGGAGGTTTTGGGAGTTGCCACTGAGACAAACTGTATGCCATGCAGTACTGAAGGAAGACATGCAGGATTTCTAAGCAGTGTGTGTGTCTCCTAGTTGTTTGCTTACCATATGTATCAGGCAAAATGAAGGACTTGTCCCATTTTCTTCCAGATGGTTTTGTATCATTATGCAGGGTTAGAACTTTACTGTGTTGCTACAGCTGATCTGGAACTATGCCTAGCCCATTGAATGCACATGATATGTTTGTGAATAATTTCTATTATTATTGCTGTTTTTAGTAGGCACAATTAAGTTTGAGGATTTGAACGTTAACAATATTTCCTGAGCTTCAGATTTTTGTTCATCTCCTCCATCTCAGAAGAAAAATGTTTTGTTGAATTTAGTGTTAATTTCTTCCATTAATTTATTTTGTTTTTAATCTAAGATGTGAATGCTGCTATTTTCCTCCTTGCTATTTGAATCATGCAGAGCTTGGGAGAAAGGGCAGTCAAATTTGTAATACTCTCACTTTTATATTGTAAGGATTGACTTTTTCAAGGGATGTCTACAGAGATCTTCATTCACACCTTTGACTTTTCAAGGGTGTTGCAGGTCTTTGTCGAATCAGTGTTTTAATCGGTAACTAAATCTCTAATGAAGTTTCGCTATAGTGAGCAGCTCTTGGCTGTTTTTTCAGATGTAAAATACTAGGGTGCTGTTACCTTCCAGGTGTCCCTTTATAATTTGTTGGAATTTTTGGTTGAAGAATGGACATTATTTGCGTGTAGATAGTAAACTACCTGTCTGTTAGATAGAACTAGCTGTTAATTTTAGAACTGTTTAAATTTTAGTTGGCCAACACTGTGTTATAAAGGAGCATTCCCATTCTGTTTAGTTTAAATAGGAGTCAGCCTAAAGGAGAAGGAACAAAGCACTGTCATCCACACATTACTACTTAGTTTGTGGCAGGATCCATGTGTTCCAGGATCCATCAGCGTTTTAGAACTAACCTTCAAAAAAATCTCAAAAGTTACATGGTATCATATGAATCAGTTTGTATTGCTCATATTAGTTAAGGATGCATGGTAAGTGTTGCCTTGACCTTAAAGAAACCTACATGGCTTAACTGATTTAAGAGACTTCCACAAGAGGGTGCACCAGTTCAACAAAAGCCCATATAAACCAAATGAGCATGTCCCCATTGTGGGCATATTTTCTATCATTTTATGTATTAACTCATGTATCTAAATCAACTTCTAAAACTGGATGGATGCTTTAATCAGTTTAATGTCTCAGTGCGTCTCTCCAGTCTGTAACAGATACATGAATGGATACATGATGTTTTGCTGGTAAGCAAGTCAGGAAGTTTAATTTTGAACAAAAGGCACTGTTTCTAGAAGTCCCGTTCACGCTGATGAAAGGCTGTTTTCAGACTCCAGTCACAAAATTATATTTAGATGTTTGGGGTTTTTTAGTGTACTGAAATGTGTTACCTGTTCCTAATTTATGCCTGATGCCCTGCAAATGCTCACTACTTGCATTTTAAGAATAAAGTTTGGGGATTTTTTTTAAATTTTTTTATTTAGTTTTGAAGCATCATTAATTTTCCCTTCAGACTGGTACAACACTGGACAGTACAGCTGCAGAAGAGAACTCCACCTAGAAAGATGACTTCTTGAGAGACTGCTGACTTGAGTATGACTGATACAATTTTTTTTCTGTTTCTGGTTTTTGATAAAATTATTTCATGTTTCATAAGATAGATGGGAACTCTTAGTAACGCTTCACCTGAAGTTGTATAATGTTACTGTACTGATATGCTAAAAGCATTAAAGTGTTCTGCTGTATGTGTAGGCCAAAGTTCTAGGTCCATTACTCTAAGACTGCAGTCCTAGGATAGTAAGATATCTCTGCAGAAATGATTAACAAATTTTCCAGAAAAAGGGCCTCACTTTTGAATCATGCATTCTCTGACCAAATACATGAATCATAAATCACTTACAGAGATAAGAGTATCTGACACTCAGCAAAATAACTAGAAGTGTGGTGATATTCATATGTGTAATACACGATTTTTATCTGTGAAATGCTCTTTTCAGTAAACTTTTGGCTTGTATTAAATAAGAGAAATGGAATGGTGTGCTTTTAAAACTTTTAATTACTAGTACAAGATATTAAAAGAAGGTGAATTTGAGACCAAGGAAATTACTATTTTTTGTTACTGCTAGCTGCAAATGTAGAAGCTGGGTCTGGATTCAAAAGGTTTCATTTACTAACACTGATGAATTGGAACTACTCTAGTTTTGATACTTTTCTTTTGAGCAGTGTAAAAGAAAAGAATATGAGGTTCTACTAAAAGATCACCACCACACAGTGAATACGTCATTTAACTAGCAAGAAGATTTTTATTTTAAAGACTATGAACTAGCCACCTTTTTCCATTTACACCAGTTCTAGATTATCATGTGTAAGCAGATGAGGGTTTGTTTTTTTACTTGCTTGTGGATAGTACCAGAAAAATAATTTGTGTTTATATTTTTCTTAAAAACACTGTGGTTTTAGGTCATTGCTGTCCTCCAGAGAGCCAAATACATCTACCAGTCAGATATGCGATACTGCTTAGTTATCTAAGATTCCTGGCTATATCTGATAGCAATAGGGCACAAGGAGGAATAGTAATTACTGTAGTTATTTACTTACTGATCATCTTGCTCTGCATAGAGTGGCATTTTCAGAAGCAATTCTTTATTCTGACAGTGTGTGGAAGTCAGCCATTTTTAAAAATGTAGATACACAACACAGATGCCCCCCAGCAAAGAAGGGTCCCAGCTTCTTTTCTAAAAGGCTGTGGCATGAAGCATTTACCACTCCCCAGAGGTCCTCCTTCTGACCTGAAGTTACATGTACCAGCCTGGCCAAAGTTTGGTCAATGTTGAGTGTTTCCAGTGGAGGGAGACTTTAATTAATAGAAAATTTCATCTCAGCATGTTTGGACCTTGACATTTCTGCCCTCCTAATCTTCAGGATGGACCAAAGTGAGATGTAACCCACTAGGTGTCACTCCAGCAAAGGCTATCTGAATACAGGTGTCAAACCTTTGTGGCTCTCCTCTCTTCCTTAGTGAAAACCGGCTCGCATTATTTCACCTTCATATAAACACAGCAAGCACTTTTTTAACTTCTAAAAAAACCTGATTGAAATTACGAGTCTTAGTATTAAGAGGAAGGATAAAAATATGCACAGAAAATAAAAATTATAAATATTGTATTTATGCAATATTTTATTGTAAGGGAGAAAAAACAAACCCTATACATAATAGGTTGAGTCTGTTGACATATGATGAAAAATGGACTATTGCAAAAGTCTAATAGGTATGGAAGTGTTAGCACATCTTGATAACAGGGTGAACTGATCAGAGATTGTCTTTTCCCATCTGTTAACTTTTAAAAAATGTCTGCATCATTGACATTTCTTTTCCCTTGGTGCTTACCTAACCTGACTTGCTGGCACATGTCCATGTCAGAACAAGGGTAGGGCTTGAAACGTTATTTGAAGGTGATTAGCACTTTTCATCAAGCATTGGTATGGAAAAGAACCATCTACTTGGTTAATTTTAAAGCATTACAGTAAAAATTAGCTACACAGATGAATTCCTGAGTTTCATATTGATTTCTGTAATAAAAGTACATCTTTTATTCAGTACTGTAAAACGTTAATAGATTGATTGTTTTTCCACTGCTAGATTAAAGTCAGAAGTTTAGTATTTTTACTAAAATAAAGGTGGTATGACTTTGTAGTCTGTTGTTTCCTACTGCAAATAATGATGATTCAGTAGCTTAAGAACAACTTTCATTCCTTTTTCTTATTTTCAGCATTCATATCTGCTGCTACACAGTAAAGAAAGAGGCATATACATTTGTATGTGTTCTTTTTGATTTTGAAGTGCTAAATGTTTGATCCAATGTGTCAAGTGCTGTTGTGTGAGTCAAGGGACCTGTGTCCTCTTCCAGTTGCTACCGAATTGTTGCTTAACCTTGGATATGTCTCATCCTGTATTTTTGCTTAACTGTTATAGCAGACAATTAAGATTAAGAAAATATCAATATAATTACATTACATAATAATGATAGTGTTAAGAAAAAAAAGCCTGGAACTGTAGAATTCAGTATTTTATGTAGTAATAATATGTACTGATTGTTTTACTTGTAGGTAGTGGAAAATCCAGTGCTAAAAAGCAATTTAAAAAAAAGTAATAAAATGTTACGTAGTAACTGATTAAATGAGAGAAATGATAAAGAAGTTCTTGGAGAAAACTCTCATGCTACTGAAGTCAACTTCAGTATCTTCTCGATTTGCTGTGTAAAGTGAGGTAGGTTATTTTAGACATACAGAGTATAAGCCCATTGGGAACAGTAGCACTGAGATTCCTCACAAGAGGAATTTTTTTGATGCCTTGAAATCATTGAAGACCATCTAAGAACAGTGTTACATGTAGTCTTAAAACAAGTTACTTTCCAACCCATATAACTTCCTGTAAGCATGAGTTTCAGTCACGCAGCTTCTGTGTTGAGTAGCAAGATCTTGGGTTGATAGCAGTGGTTTTGTGATTATCGTATTATCAATTAAATGAATAATCGTACTATCAATGAAAAGTAGTCTTGCAGTACTGATGGCTTTGCATGATGACCTTGAAGCACTTTTTCTGGAAAAGCTGCTGTATTTTCTGGAAAGGCCGCCTTAGATACTATAGAAAGGGGTGTGCCACATAGCACCACATAACATCCTGCCTTTTCTTTTCAGTAGTTTTAATGTTCACCTGTTCCATAATTGAGAAGAGGAAAATGTAAACATGTTAAATGTTTTGGACAGTTGACTAAACTAGATTGTGCAGTTCAGAAAGATATTCTGAAGGCAGGGAAGTATTTTTAGCTTCATTAACTTCTTTTCCTGGTTACAGAGAATCAGGAGAAAAAGGTTTTAAAACCTGTTTGTCTACGTACTGCATTGGTTTTGCTCCCCAAAATGTCAACCCACAACATCCCCAAAACTGCATCTGCAGGGATTCTTAATCTTTAGTGAGAGGGCTTCCCCACATCCCTTGCTAACCACCCACTGCCAACGGTTTTTCCCTCTGATTTGATGGCAGAAGATCTTTTAACATAACTCAGTTTTACCTTTACGTGACGAAAACCATAGCTTTTTCCCCATGCGTTACTGCAAGTGGGCACATCTAGCATTACCATGGCCTTCTTTTTTAGCTTTCCTTCAGGAACCTTTACTTTCCCTTGACAAGTAAGTTGACAGTAGTTTCTCATTGTTTCTTCCACAATGTGTATCTTAAAGGGAGCGCTCCATTACAGCAGCCTAACAAAGGTCGTGAAGAAGCAGTTTGCAAGGTAAAGGCATCCAAAGAACATGTGAAATACAGCTGTGGAAAAGGTTAGACTTCAATTTCTGGGTCTCTCTGTTGATTGGGTTATATTGGAACCTTCTTACAGTTGCCCAATTTTAGAATGGTGGTATATACCACTCTTAAACTTGTTGGGAGGGGAGAAGTTGTAGAGGACAGAGAATGTGGAGTCTAACAGCTTGCTTTTCTGCTGGCAGAAATACATTGAGCTAAAATAAGAGCTTGTGGCAGCAACTGCTCCTCTCCCTTTTCCTTCTTGCTGAAAATGCAGAGAGCAAGAGTCTGTGCGAGATAGACTTGGGATGTAATGGCTTCAGAGGAACTGAGAAGATGCAGCATGCTTTCTGTGTGCTGCCTTGTTCCCCACCATCCTTCCAGTTCCCACCGACATTTGTTGACTTCACTTCATATAAAACATCAGAAAAGGACAGTTAAACTTCCCGTAATGGGCTGTGTTTTAAGAAGTTAAGAATGTTCATTGTGCCAGTACTGAGGTAGAAAAGGAGGTCTTGTTTCTGTGACTAGAAAAAAACATGTTGCAGCCTGAGAACTTTTTTTTAGCGTGAACATTTAAGTCAAAGACATTTCCTTTCTTTCATCAGCAAAGTGAAGTGTGCATACTGATTATTCCATTATTTGCAAGTCAGAATTGTAAATTGCTGCATTCACTCTGATGCAGTTTACCATCTGAAAGAAATAATTAAAGCTTGCTTTCTCTTGCTTAAGATTTAAACGTGTATTTAAAAATGAGATCATACTTTCATGGTGGTCATAGTTTCTTTATGTATTTGTGTGGGGTAGCCTCAGAAATGGGTGTATGATCTGCTGGTGTGCTGTGATGTATTTCCTTTAATTATACATTTGTTTTGAGAAAGATGGTTATTCCAGGCCTCCGTCTTTCCTCAGTTACATCCTTACAAGCCCACTGCAGTGGGAGTTGTGCGTACCTTGGTGTATAGTTCAGCCATATGTGCTACTTATTTATATCTCATGCATGACATAAGCTATTCCAAACAGATAATTTCTGTTCTGGTAATAGAAGATGAATGCAAGTGTCTATACAGTTCTTTCTCACTAAATGAGGATATGACACATTGCTAGTCACCGTGCTTGGTACAGCTCTTGTGCCGAGTCCAGATGGAGTATAAGGCTGTGCCTGTCTGATGTTTCAGACACTCCAAGAGTTCAATTAATTTACAAATGATAATTTGTTTTCAGCTCCTGTAGATATGGATGCCTTCTTTACTCAGCCTCTATTGTGTTGTTCTATAAGAAGTCAGCTCCAACTGCATGAAGCACAATTTTTGTAATTTGTTTGTAGAAATGCCATATTCTCCCTGCATTATAAACACAGCTGTGCAGCATTTTCAAAACGCACTGTAAGGCTTGTGCCATCTTAGAATGACAGTTTCTTTCCAGATGCCTGTATTTTCTGTATAGGTAATTTCATCAAATCACTGAGCACAAGGAATGAAAGGCTGGCTTTATTTAAAAAGAAAACAATAACACAAATAAAAGGTGTTCCATCAACATAGATTTCACCTTCTGAAGCTATTTACCTCTTTGTAAGTTATTTTATCTGGCCATGTTAGTGATGCAGATGCACTTAGTTCTGGTGGTGTCACGTCCGTGTGAGCTGATGGGTCCTGCTGAAATTCACTACAGCAAAACAAGCGTGTGATTCACCGGGGAAGCGTCCCAGGCCCTCACACCAGTGGCCGAACTAACCCACCGTGCTCTCTCACACGCACCGCTTGCAGCCAGAAGATGACAGCACGCTAATGGCTTTCGGTCAAAAGAAAGTTAACTATGCTCTTCACGAGTTCCACCTATAAAACGTGCCACGTAAGTAGGTGGTAACTTACTGTAATTCATTGTATTTGCTGTACTTCGCGCTTTCTTTTTCAGCGTGCGGCACGGGCAGTAACTAGCACGCCCGCACCCTGGCAGCCCCATGCGAGAAGGGGACCGCGCTCACGCCGCGCAGGTACGGAAAATGAGTCACACCGACTTCGTTGCAGGACGGCCTCCTGGTTTGCTGCCGAAGTCATTAATTAGCGTTCTTTGAATAACTTGCGCTGTGAAACGCAGTAACGTTTGGAAGCCGAGAGCGCCGCGTCTTCGGCCTCGGCTTATTCCGACGCGCTGCGTGACTCCTGAGCCGCGGCGAGGGCTGACGTGGCGTTCGAGTTGCGTTTTCTCGGAAGCGGCTGCCTCCTCGCACGCAGGCCTGGGCGCTGCCGGGGGCCTGTTCCTAGTTATTTTTTTGCCCGAGGAAATCCTCCTCGGTGAGAGGCTGGGGCTCGCCAAGAAGCGAAACGCAACGCTTCGTGCCCGGTATAAACCGAAGGCCGAAGCGTTTCTTGGGACCCGGTCACCACGCTTTTCGCTTCTCCCCGGTGTCCCCGCTTAGGTGCGGGTTCGTTTCGGGGAACCCCGGACGGACCGAGGGACAGGGCGGTATTCCGGGGGCTTTGTCGCTTCGTTCCGGACCGCCCCCCCCCCCCCCGGGCGGCGGCCGGGG